CCTCTGGAGATTTCCATTACTGGCATCTGAAGAAGTAAGGTTCTTACCCACGGAACCTTGTAAATCCAGTACTTCTGTTAGTCTCAAAGGTGCCACAGGACCCTCTGTTGCTTTTATTAGAACTCAATCACTCAGACACACATAAGTAACTTTACTTGAGTGTGGTCCTGTGATTAAACTCTCTTCCCTGATCTGTTACAGACTTCGTGTATGAGCTTGGGCAAGTTACTTATGGACAGGTTTTTAAAGATTTTTAGGTACCTATATTCGTAAGATAAACAGATTTTAGTGTTCATGTAAGTCCATTTATTCATGCATGTTTGCAGGAGTGAGCCCTTAGAAAACACCAAATAGCAGAAAGTGCCAGATTTGTTTTAAGTGCTGTAAGTTTTTAAAATATTCGTTTGTTGTTAAACCAGCTATCAAAGTTACCGAGAATTCTCAAATTCTGTAACTTGCCTAAAAGCAACTTTGAAGCTTTCTTGTTTCCAGTGTATTGCAATGGGAAATCATGTTATTTCAGTCTAATCTTACATCATCAAATGGTTTTTAGGTGTAATAATTGTAACTCACTGAGAGAGAACAGCCCTGTTTGCTGAATGGGAATACTGGAATAGTGATTGGCAGGGCCGGCTCCAGGCACCAGCTCAGTAAGCAGATGCTTGAGGCGGCCAAGGGGAAGGGGTGGCACTGTTGGGCTCTTTGGCGGCAATTTGGCGGCGGGACCCTCTCGGAGGGAAGGACCTGCTGCCGAAGAAGAAAGTGGCACGGTGGAGCTGCCGCTGATCGTGCCTTTTTTTTTTTTAAGTATGCTAACCCCACTCTAAGTACATTGCCTTTAAAAAGATCACGAAGTTGAGACAGCAGCTGTGGCCAGCAAGCTCTCCCCACCCTGCTCTATATGGAGAAGAGGTAACTGGGGGGTAGGAGTGGGGGCAGGGGGACACCCTGACATTAGCCCCTCCCTTCCCCCCCTTCCCTGCACAGCAAGCAGGAGGCTCTTGGGAGCAGCTCCAAGGCAGAGGGCAGGAGCAGCACATGGCAGTGCGGCAGTGTGGGTGGCAATTGGTAGCCTGCTGGGTGGCTGCCGCACAGGGAACTTAGAGGAGCAGGGAGCTGATGCGGGAGGGGAGCTGCCGGTCCACTCTGGTTCCAAGCCCCACCAGCTAGCTGCAATGGACTGCTCTTCCTGCAAGCAGTGGACAAAGCAGGCGGCTACCAAAGAACGTTATAAGGGAGCATTTCACAACTTTAAACGCGCGTGTTCCCTAATTGATCAGCAACGAAACAACGTTAACCGGGATGACTTTAAGTGAGGAGTTACTGTATTAGAAAAATGTCTGTAGTGGAAGTTACAAGGTTTTGAGTTTCACAGGGCTCTTCTTCCATTCTGGAGAAGTAAATCAGTGTTTCTGAGCTAAAAACAAGTTGGGACAAATGAAGCGTAAGGGGATAACATGTGGGAAACCCCTTAAAATGAAGTAGGTAATTAAAGATTAGCAGGCAGTGGGGTGTGTTTTAAATTGTTGTAATGAGTCAAAAAACTAGTGTGTCTATTGAGTACATGTTTTTTAGTGTCTAGCAGAGTTACAAAATTAAGTTTCCAGGCTCACCTTTTGAAGGTGTTGTGCAGGTTCCCCTTGAGGACAAGTACCAAGAGGTCAGATATGGAGTGATCGTTTTATGAAAAGTGTTTGTCCACAGGTGATATGTTTTTGTCTCTTATGAGTTCATTCAGAAGTGTAGTGATTGTCTGGTTTCACCCACATAGTTGTTGGGGCATTTGATGCACTGGATGAGGTAAACCACATGTTTGTTTTTGGTAGTGAGCTTGTCAGGGTTGGAGGGTTGTTCTTAAGGCCAGAAGAGGGGGTTAGGAAAGACTTCCTTCAGCATGTGGTGCCCATCAAATATGGGTTGTAATTATTTGATGATACCCCAGTTGGGCTCTAGTGTGGAGCAGTAGGTCACAAGTAGGGGCGTGCAGTCAGTGAGGGGTGTTTTTTCTGTATTAAAGTAGGCTCTCCTGGGGTATTTGGGTGATCCTTTCCATGATGCAATCTACTTCTCTGGTGGAGTGTCCTTGTTTAGTGAAGGAGGCTTTAAGTCTGTTAAGGTGTATAGCCTGGATTTTGTCTTTGGAGGTGGTCTCTGAGTACCTGGCTGACAGTAGCAGATTTTTTTGGTGTGTCTGGGATGGTTACTGAATCTGTGAAGATAAGTGTGGTGATGTGTGGGTTTCATGTATACAGTCATGTGCAGGGTTTCATTGTTGAAGTTAATCATGGTGTCCAGGAAGCTGATGCTGGTGTAGAAGTGTCCTACAGAGAGTGTAATAGATCGATGGTGGTTGTTGAAGTGGTGGAAATGTATGAAGAAGTTTAGGTCTTCTGTCCAGAGGATGAAAATGGCATTGATGCATCTCAGATATATTGGTATGTTGTTGTTTTTTGGTGCATTTTTCCAGAAATTCTTCCCCAAGGTAGTCCATGAAGAGGTTAGTGTATAGGAGAGCCATCTTAGTATCCATGGCTGTTCCCATAGTTTGGACAAAGTGGTTGTTGTTAAATGTGAAATTGTTGTGGGTGAGGATGAAATGGATGCGTTTGGCAATGTGCAAAGGGTGGATTTTCAAACGTATGTTATCTTGTACAGTAACTCCTCACTTAACTACAACATTATGTTCCTGAAAAATGCGGCTTTAAGCAAAACAATGTTAAGCGAATCCAATTTCCCCCATAAGAATTAATGTAAATGAGGGGGTTAGGTTCCAGGGATTTTTTTTCACCAGACAAAAGACTCCACACACACACACACACACACACACACACACACACACACACACACACACACACACACTAACTT